GTGTGTGTGTGTGTGTGTGTGTGTGTGTGTTGCGGGGGGGTTGTTTGTGGAGGTGCATACATACCAGCACCTTCAAGAATGCCACTTCTTCTCCCCCTGAGTTTCAAGAGATCCTCACAGGTTCTGGCTTTGTGCCTGAAAGTTTTTGGATTATGGAATTATAAAATTTTATGTCTTGACTGATCAGATAGTCACCTCTTCAGCATTCTCAGATGCAGTGTGTCTGAAATTCTCAGCCATTGCCCTTGCCTTCCCAAATAATCGAGAGTCCTAGTTCATGGAGAATGGCGTTGAGTCACAGTGCAAAGGAATGAGGTCTCTGGAAAATGTTCCCACCTTCCTAGGGACCGACTCATGCTGGGCAAGTTCAGAGCATCAAGAAAATATATTTATGAGATATCTGCTGTGGGCTGGGCCCCGCATAGGACAAAATAGTAGGCAGATCATCATTGTAACCTTTGAGTGACTTAGAGTCTAATTTGAAAGAGGTGATTAACAAGAGGAAAAACAAGAAGATTGGATTTTTTGAGCATTTTTTTTTTAAGAGACAAGATCTCACTGTTGCCCAGGCTAGACTAGAACTCTCATTCTATTTTTTTCCCAAGGGTATTTTCCCTAGAGAAATATGTCAGGAAGCCATGGAGAGCGGGGATGGGGCAGGGAAGAGGTTAGGATGGAACAGCCCGTGGAGGAAGTGCGATTTATCCTTCTTGCTGAGGTCACCCTTCACGAAGTTGCAGTTCAACCCCTCCCACCGCTGCCTGTCCTTGCGCCTGCCTCTCATCTTAGTTCTGTCTCTTCTTTCCTTGCTGTCTTCTCTGTTTTCAGAAAGACTTAGCTTGTCCTTACTATATAAAACAAGTGTGACCTCCCCCCACGATCCCCTCACCTCTGTGGACTCCGTTGTCACATTCATGGTCAGTTGGTGGTAATCTGGTGCCTTCCTGACCTGAACACAACACCCCATTTAATCTGGGTTTCCTTCATTTTTTCTGGTGGGCACTTCAGATGACCCCTTCCTGCCTGCCACCTGTATTTTCTTACCACCTTTCCACCCCTGAGTCCTTTGCAGTCTTGTGTCTACCCCCAGTCACTCTGCTGTTTAGGAAAAAAGAGCACAGCATACTGCAGTTTTCAAAGGAGCAGCAACCACCTGTCAGATCCTGGCATTTGACCCAACATGGGCCGTCTCTTCTTTGTTCACGTTTATCTCCTTGCACCACTTGACCTCTTCTTTCATTGTGAGGACTCTGCATTGCTCCATTTCTTTTTAAAAATTTTCTTCAAGAAGGATTATATATTGCTCTATTTCTGTCTTCTACCCGGAAGTCAACCTTTCTGAGGTCCAGTCCTTGCACCTTCGTTCTTCTCTCCCACCCTCACTTCTCGCCCCCTTTCCCCTAGAAATCCCTTCACTTGGACAGCTTTGCCCCTTACCTGCATTTTAATCCTTGCAGCGTCCTAAGCATCGGTTCCCTGTGATGAACAGCCCTCACCTTAAACTCAAAAAGCAAACTAGTTCTCTCCCCACACCGACTGTCCCTTTCTCCCTTCTTGTCTCCCTCGTATCACCTTTCTCCAAGTGATTCAGATCTTCACCTTGGAACCCTTTTCTCCTTCCTCTCTTCCATCCAGTGCCTAAGTTCTGTCCATTTTGCCCTAGGCTCTGCCATCCTTTCTTCCCCTGGCCTGCTCTGCTCCATGCTCTCACGGCCTTGGCGTGAACTTGGGATAAGATGTAAATTCCCAGACTTACAATTCCTGATCTTTTCTCAGCCGATTGCCCCTCACAAAGATATGTTAGCCCATTTTTCAGCCTGTTTAATCTTTGTCCATCTCAGGAGACCCCCTCCAACCTCACTTCCTTTGAGAAGCCTTCTCTGACAACTGAAGCCAGTGGCAAACACTTTGCCTCCTGCTTTGTGCCAACATTTATTGTCTACACCAGAAGTTGCAAACAGCCATATCTTTAAAAATTGTTAAAAGTTGGTTGTCATCATGTGAAAACCAGATGCTGTGATGTAACAATCCTGATTTCTGGTTTCTCTTGAAAGTTGAGAACATCTGGCAACACTGGCTCTGCTTTCCCTCGTGGCAGTGTTGGTTTGGTGCGGAGGAGTGGTTATCGCCTGTGGGCAGATCGTGCACTCCCAGCAGGATTCGTGCCCCTGTGCTACCTAACTGGCTCCTCTAGACAATTGCATTTGCGACCCTCGTCTATACCATCGATCTGCCATGACTTAGCAAATATGTCTTGTCTCGTTACTGATTGTTCTGTGTTTACATGTTTGTCTTATATTCCCTTCACATTTCAGTTGCCCTCTCCCTGAGGGTGGGGAATCTCTGTGAACTTCACATGTCTCCTGCCGTACCTGGCACATAGTAGGTCTGTTGTTTAAGAGGCCAGTGCCTGAGGTGGAGTTTGCCTTATGACTTGCTTCTAGGTCAGTGGTTCTCACTTGTACCCTCTGCCAACATTATACCAGGCTTGGGGGTGGGATCCACTCTGTCCAGTGTTTACTAGAAAGTTCTAGCAGAGGTTTGAAGCATGCCCACCCCTTAACGTTACAGGATTGGGCTTGTGGTGAAGGCAGTGGCGGGTGTCATTTGCAGAACTCCCCTGGGTGATTCCAGTGTATCCCCTAGTGGAAGGCTCACGTGGCCATTTTCAGCCTGTGTTGTGAATCATTGCTTTAGATAAAAGGGACAAAGTATTTCAGGTAAGGTTTGACCTCTGGGAAGGTCCAGACCCCCGGATGCATTTTCTGTTGGAAATTCCCCTGGCTGGTGCTGGGCTCCCCACAATTCTGAGAGTGGCTGGTGGCCTGCATCTCATTTTTGTCCCCCACCTCCCTTTCCCTCACCCCTTTCTTCAGTCTTTACCTCTTGCTCTTTCCATCCATTTTTACCTTTCCACAAGCTCTCGGTTCTATGGTTTTGCAGGATTTTATTTTTCTTCCTTCCCCATATGCAAATCATGAGGGCCTCTACCCCTGCTGTGACATAGGAGAGAGTGTAAGAGGACACACCGGAGTACATACTACCTTCTTCCAACCCAGCTTTCCAACAGCAGAACTGCTAAGGGACCAGTGGCCAGTAAAGGTGCAGAGAAGGACATGAACCCTTCCCGTTGTTGGAAAGATTTAAGTGTTTCTCCCTGGAGCAGTTTTCACAACTGGTTTGCCCTCCTTTGCTTCTGCGAGCTGCTCAGATAGCACTGTATCTCTGCAGCTTGCACAGGCAGGCCAAACTCAACCAGATACTTCTTATTCTAATTCATATGTCCATTCTCTAAATTCTTCTTTCTATTTTACTGCTTCATTGTATTTGTGCTAAGCTGCCTCATGACCTGAAGATAATCTAAAATATGGCTTTCCTGCCGTCAGCATAGCCTTCAGCTGCTTTAGGGCTGCAGATACTGCATTTCTTTCCACTCAGAATTTTTCGGAGCTGTTTGGGGATGCGGCGTTCTGAAGCACTGCATGCCGTGGAGATGTCGCATCTGATGGAGAGTAACTGCAACGTGGAGAGTTCACGTTGGCCATCTCCAGTCTTGTATGACAGATGCTTAACTTGTGTTTGAAATTTTCAGAGATTATTTCCATTTTTGCATAGCAAAGAGTCTATTTCTTGTCCTATAGCTAGAAGGCTTTGCATGGCTAGAATAAATTTCAACGAAACAGTATGCTGTGG